TGGCCAATCCCAGAAGCACCTGGCTCCTGGCCAATCCCAGAAGCACCGGGCTCCTGGCCAATCTCCTCTCCGTCGGAAGGCACCGAAGGCCGCACCAGAGGGGAAGGTCCTGGAGAGGGAGGCCTGGCCATCTCCTCTCCTTCATGTTCAGAGCCTTCCTCCTCTGATGAGAGGGACCCACAGGACGGAGCCACAACACTAGGTTGGACTATAATTCCACCTCTATTGTGGTGGAATTTGATGCTGGGTTGCAGGAAGGAGGGAGTCTTTCCCCCAAAATGTAAAAAATAAATCAGCCTTGAGTTCCTGGTATGCAGAAAGAAGTGCTCTACTTGCCCTTTCGTTACCTAAATTACAGTCCCGTCATTCAACCAAATTCAGCTTGCTTCTGTGTGATTGTTGGGTCTAGAACCGGACACCCTTGCTTTCCTACAAGCACACAAGGGGAGACACAGAGGAATGAACTGACTTGCCTAACTAGATTCAGCATCATGGTCTCAATCCTGGCTTGCCCAAGGTGTTCCGAGCTGCCTTCGGTGTGGTTATCAAGCAGGTTCTTCATGATCGCGATGGTCTGCTCCACAAACTGGGTATTGGTATCATTTAACAAGACCTGCGCAGGAGCAAAACATGCTCTTGGTTATACATAATAACAATATCCACCACGTTTCCTTTGAAATTCTTCTAATTTTCTGCTTTGCGTGTCAGCAATTTTTTCAGACCCTTGAGAAATTTCTGGTAGCCCACACGTGCTATCAAGCCCCATCTGAGAACACAGATTATTTTGCAAGATTTGAGCATCCCATGAAACCTCAATGGTTAACATATACTAACTATAATATATATACTATAACTTCAGTTATAACCTGTTTTAAAAAAAATAGTATTTCAAGGAGCAATTACATCAGTGATGGCGAACCTTTTAGAGACCGAGTGCCCAAACTGTAACCCCAAACCCACTTATGCATCTTTGGGTGCCGGGTGGGTGTGGCCCATTGGCTGAGTGTGGCCCACTGGCTAGGTGTAGCCAATTGGGGGGGGGGGGTGGCCCATTGGGTGGGCGTGGCTGCTGTGGTAACAGCAGACTGGGTGGGACTGAAAAGTTCAATCAATCAATTCCAACTTTGCAAGATCTTTTTTTCCCCGCGAGAGGTTGAAATTGACTGATTGAACCTTTTTTTTTTTTTTGCACACGGCGGCGGAGGCCTAAAGCGAAAAGGTTTTATAAAACCCAGCTGAAGGCCTAGGGCTGGGGCGACAGCGCGCATGCCCACAGAGAGGGCTCTGAGTGCCACCTCTGGCACCCGTGCCTTAGGTTCGCCACCACTGAATTACATCATCTAACCCTGGTAAAGACATCATGTTACACTTCTTTGGACAGAAATATAGACAAAGGGATTGATGATGTCTATGGAAATTCTCAGTCATCCAGCTCATGGTTGGCCCAAAGGTGCTTTTCCAAAAGGCAACTGGATTTTGTTTTTTCCTTGAAAACTGAAGAAGCTTCTTGGTTGAGAAGCGAAACGTCTCCAAAAAAACCCAAAGTCCAGTTGCCTTTTGAAAAAGCACCTTTGGGACAAAGTGATTGATAGCATCTTAGTGAATAAGGGCAAGAAAAAAATAACTTTATCTAGATATTGAGCAGGAAAAACGAGCTAGTACTTCTGAAGAAGTTCTGCTGAGGACAACAAACTACTCCCCAAAATTAATTTCCTAATAGAAATCTCCAGAATCGGCCAACTAATCAACCAACCAATCAACGAATCAATCAGGACATCTGTCAGTTTGTTTACCTCACTCTCTCCAAGGGAAAAAGATGGCTTATAGTCCAGGGGTAATCAACCTTGGCTCTTTTATGACTCGTGGACTTCAACTCCCAGAATTCCTGAGCCAGCACAGCTGGCTCAGGAATTCTGGGAGTTGAAGTCCACGAGTCATAAAAGAGCCAAGGTTGACTACCCCTGGCTTATACGGATACCCAGCCAGTTATCAAATCTGACTCTGAATTATTTTGTTTGTGAACACTAACATGGATGCTCGGCTGTCTTTAGACGATCATGTGACGGCCGTGGCCAGGGGGGGCTTTTCATCAGGCTCGCCTGATACGCCAGTTGCGCCCCTTTCTGGATCAGGACGCCCTACGCACGGTCACTCAAGCCCTCGTTTCCCACCTGGACTATTGCAATGCCCTCTACATGGGGCTCCCCTTGAGGTGCACCTGGAGGCTCCAGCTAGTTCAGAATGCGGCTGCGCGGGGGATTTTGGGGGCCTCTAGATGCTCCCATGTAACACCTCTCCTGCGCGAGCTGCACTGGCTGCCGGTGGCCTTCCGGGTGCGCTTCAAGGTGTTAGTAACAACCTTTAAAGCACTCCATGGCAATGGACCTAGGTATTTGCAAGACCGCCTCCTACCAAATATCTCCCTTCGACCAGTCCGCTCCCACAGAGAGGGCCTCCTTAGGGTACCGTCGGCCAGCCAATGCCGGCTGGCGACCCCCAGGGGGAGAGCCTTCTTTGTGGCAGCTCCTGCCCTTTGGAATGACCTGCCCCCCGACCTACGTACAATTGCGGACCTGCGCCTCTTCCGCCGAGCCCTGAAAACTCATCTGTTCCATGCGGCCGGCCTGGCGTAGTTTTGATTGGGTTTTGTTAGGGGTTTTATATTTTAGAGCAGGCTTTTATGTAATATTTACTGTGATTTTTATTATTGCCTGTTCATCGCCCTGAGTCCCGTAAGGGAGATAGGGCGGTGTATAAATTTAAATAATAAATAAATAAATAAATACCCTTATCCCATAATAGTTAATCTGATTTGTCCTCTAAATACAGACAGGAGTGTGGTAGAAAGGAGAAGTCCTGCTTATGGGTAGTCCTCAACTTACAACCACAGCTGAGCCCCAAATCCCATTGCTAATGCCCCGTTTTGCAACCTGTCTTGCCATGGCTACTAAGTGAATTACTGCAACCGTTAAATGAAGCAGGCGGTCATTAAGCATATTTGGCTTCCTCCATTTGCTTTGCTTGTCAGAAGCCGGCTGGGAAGATTACAAATGGCGATCACATAGCCCCAGTGGAGTGCCAACCATCATAAATACATGCCAGTTGCCAAGCATCCAAATTTTGATCACATGACCGCGGGGGGATGCTGCAACGGTCCTAAGCATGAAAAACCGTTCGTAAATCCCTTTTTACAGTGCTGTTGCAACTTTGAACATCGCTAAACGAATGATTGTTAAGTCGAGGGCTGTCTGTGTGATAGCTGCTTTGCAAAACAGTTTAAAACTGAAACTGAGCTTTTACCTGCCCTTGCGAGTCGAAGAACTTGCTGATGTTGTTCTTTAATTTGTTGAAAAGCGTTGGGTAGAGGGCAGGGCTCAGCTCCAGGCCGACGAGGTCCTTAATGTTGGTCCGTATCTGCAGACCCACTTTCTCGTGGGTGCAGACCATCAGGGACAACAAGCGATCCATGAACTTGCTCACAGGAGTCTCGGTGTTGCCGTCCGTCGACAGCATGGAGATCATGGAGCCTTTCCGCTCGCTCACAGGGCCCATGGGGGGACTGTAGGATGGAAAGGGCGTGTTGCCGCGATGCTGCAAGCACACTCCGCCCAGGGCGCACA